GCAGAAATTCACGGACAGCGTGGCGGGGGTCGCCTTGGTCTTGTTGCTCCGTTTGCCCCGAGCAGTTGTAGTCTTGAGCGGAATTTTGCCCCCCCCCCCTAGAATATGCGGGGCAGCCTGAGCACCCACGCTCAGAAATGGAGAAACATGGTCGTGGATGCTCAGCGAGAGATTCTCCAGGGGTGCTGGTACCCTCCTGTGGTAGTCTATCATCATTCCGCTACCATGTTGATGGGGGGGGGGGATTTGGGCCTCCGGCCACCTGCAATCACCAGACGAAACGCGGAAGCAGAGCTTCCACTTCACGCCGGTATTCTGTGAGGTCGTGGTACCACCCCGGTTTGAGCCGGCCCATACGTGCGACAGCAAAGCTGCCGCTTGGCTCTACCACCGAGAAAATCTTGATTGCTCTCTATCAATAATTGTTTATTCGTCAATAATTTATTTATAAATAATTAATTAAAATCTACCTTATATTTACCAAAAAAAAAAAAATATTGATAGGGGCGTACTCCAATGGTTTGGGCACGTTGAACGAATGAGTGAAGACCGAATGGTGAAGAAAATATATATGTAGAGCGAAAGTAAATATTAAAAGGTGTCGAGGTAGACCGAGACTAACTTTCGAAGACCATGTGAGCAAATTGCTCGAAGAGGGGAGGGTCAAGAGTACTCGGATACCTAGACGTGCATGTATGAAGAAGTTAATGAACCTGAAAGAAGCGAAAGAGGTATGTAAGGATCGTGACACTTGGCGATCTGTTCTCTCTGGTTACCCCGTTAGGGATTGTGCGTGAAGATAAGTAAGTAAGTAAGTAAGTACCTTATAGTTAGCCTCCCCCCCCCACTCCAGTTTGTAATTTTTTTCGTTATTATTGTTTTTTTTTATTTTCATTAATGTTTATTCTTTGATAAAATACGTTTGTTCTATCAAAAATATAGCTACTTTTGGTAAAATTAACAATTTACTACATATATTACAGACTACATAATTATACAGACGTAGGTACCTGTACTGCGCATGCGTCAATGCTACGTTTGAAGCGGTTCCTTTAAAAATCAATTTTTTTTAAAGACATTTAAAACAAATTACAGCGATAAAGAAGAAAGTGTAATTTACGTTATCATTTTTATCACTATTAGATTTTTTTTGTTTTATATTAGTAGGTAATAATATATATACAATAATACTTCTGATTAACATTGAGGGTGTGTTTCTGTTGAAAATATTTAGAAACTTAACAAATCAACGTATAGATATTACATTATCATTAACAATCCCAATAATCAATTAATCGATCAAATATTGTGATATTGTGAATGAAGGTAATATGCCACTGTATTGTACTACTTATACATACTATATTTATGTTTAGATAAAATTATTTTCAAAAACATAACATTAATATAAAATTAGTAAACAACTTCATTAAGTATATTATTAAGATGATTTATACTATTCTAAAATATAAAATGTAGGAATTTCCATTATCTTACACATTTTAACCCTACGTTGACTACGTCGTCTGTATATTTATTTAGCTAAATAAAAATTGTTAATTAAACTAAAAATAGATATATTTTTGAAAGGACAAACTTATTTTATGATAGATTAAACATTTATGAATATGAAAGGACCAATAATAACGAAAGAAATTATAAATTGGAGTGGGGAGGGGTAACTATAAGGCAGATTTTTAATTACTTTGTTATAAATAAATGATTAACGAACAAACAGTTATTGATAGAGAACAATCAAAAACAAACCACGATCTAACGATATGTGGTAAAGAAATTTGAAAAATAATAAAATAAAAATTTTAGAGGGGCAACTTCAGTGAACCTAGAATTTGTTAGATAGAACTTGCTTACAGCGCTACCTATTGGCACACAGCAATGATCTCGACAAAACAAATTATTTATGAGTGTGATCTCAATCGTTCAAATCTTACAAAAGTTACACGATCACTAAAATACATTCAATTGAATATAATATAATATAAAACAATTATATATTTTAAAAAGTACATACAAAATATTTCAAAATGACGTGTTGCCATCTATCAGCGAGCCTGCACACTACTTAAACTAAATGATGAAGAAGTAAATTGAACCACATGGTTGTTTCTCGTTTATTAACTCTGCCACTAGATGGCAGAGTTAATAAACATTGTGTTCAACCTACTCAAACTTGATGCAGATATTTTAGCATTCATAATAGTAATTTAATAAAAAACTTAATATAATAATGATTGACTATTTTGACTATAATTTTTAATTACTGATTAATAAGGTAATAACAAAATAAAATGTTTTCATTGCCTATATTATGAAACCAATTAACAAGTTATTAAAAGTAAGAGAAAACTTTAACGAGCTGACTATAATAAAATAATGTTTTCATTGCCTATACTATGAAACTAATTAATAAGTTAAAGGTAAGATAATACTTTAATGAGCTGACTATAAAAAAGTCACCTTACACAGAAAAATAAAAATAGAAATTTAATTATCTTTCATATGAATTGATTTTTTAAAAAGGTGCAATTGTACTACTTGAAATTGACTATAGCAAAATCATATTACGTCGACCGTGACAGGACTCGAACCTGCAATCTTCGGATCCGAAGTCCGACGCCTTATCCATTAGGCCACACGGTCTACATTCAATTCAATAAAAATGAATATTAGTATTTAAATTTCATCGATCGTTTCAATTTATATCATTTCAAATAATTTCTATAGAATATTATAATTCATACATAATTGTAAGAGATACCTCAAAAGTGAATCTTAGAATTAATTTTTATATTTAAATTCTAAATAAAAGGAATTAATCAATACAATAACACTATTTATTTCAAGTAAACTAAATCAATGGCACAGTATAAGGAAATAACATAATATATCACAAACCTTGTCTCTGAATGATCCCGACTGCCCGTGTTGCTAATGCCCCTATTACACTACCCTGAATCAGGACCCTGGATGAAGGGTGGGCGCGTCCCCTACTAGGGACCTGAGCTATTACACTACCCTAATTTTACGCCCTTTCTCGGTCATAGGGATGTGAAAAAAGTATATATATTTATTGAATCGATATTTTTACACACTATCAATATTATTGCGTGATTAATATCGATATATCGTCATGTTTTGTATGATGTAGTGGGATAAGGGCCAAAATTTTATTACTGAACGTTTTGAAGACGAAAAAAAACATGACTATTAATAGTAAAGAACTCTTTTCTTTACTATTGTCATGTGTAGATTTCTTCTATATGTGATTCTGCTATGGGTGAAGGACTATTTAAAACTTAGGTAAAATCACTCAAATGTGCGGATTATCGGAGTTCTGGCGCCCAATGAATTTCGAATACCTGAGAATAGGGTAAGAGGAGTTCGAGGAGCTATTAAGTTTAGCTCCTTATATCGAAAAACAAAATACGATTTAAGGACAGAGTGTAAGTGTAGACAACGATTATTTCCGACTTTAAGATTTCTAGTGATTTAAGTGCGTGTATTTGTGTACGCGCTTTGTGTTACAAAGAGAAAGCTAATATCATAATAATTTGTTATTTAGAATTTTATGACAGCTAAGTTATTTTAGAATATTTGAACTATTAAATAGCTTGTTTACCTACATCTTAAAACTAGACTGTTGTTGTTTTGTGAAGACTGATATAAAGCTAATTTTGTTTTTAAACATAGGTAATTAATTGATTAAAACCAAAAATACACAAGTATATATTACTAACTAAATATCCCTTTACTACCTACTAAGTTTAGTAATGATAGTTGACCCAACCTACCAAAGAGTTAGATAGAAAAACAAATACATAAAAGTAATTTGTAACAAATTACTTTTATGTATTTGTGTTTTGTATTGTGTACTCTGTTTCGTCCTGCTAACTCGAGTTTAGTTCGAGTTGCACGAATTTCAACTCAAGTGACCTCCAGTCGTAATTTTTCCGAGTAAGCAAATCTATAGGATGCAACATCGCTCATTAGGGTAAGTCCGGGGGAGTTGCACGTAAGGAAGAGATGGCCACTAAAAAAAAATCATAGTTATACTTACTAGATGGCACTACTTTCTCGTTAGTTTAATTTGTGCTGTGCGTGGGAACGACATTTCGCTCATCTCCGGTGAAAAAAATCGAAAAAGTAAGTAAAATGTACCTACATTTATTTGTATATAGCCTAAAGTTTTCAAAGGGTTTACGTTATATAGTGTGGTGAAAAGACATCATAAAAAGTAAGTGCTTTTTTTAAGTTAAGTGCTCAGTTAATGACCCACACTTTAACATAACCTCAAAATGGCGCGTGGGTTCTTTATATTTTTCTACAAATAATGTATCCCGGCTATCCCGGCTGATTAGGAGAGATGGCCATACATAATCGGTATGAGATGACCATAAGGCCATCTCACACCTACCATATATGTAATGCGTAATGGTGAAAGTTATATTATTATAACAATATATTTTTCTTTATTTATGGTGCTATTATACTTATTTGGTTTTAGTATATCATATCATAATATTTTATTTTTAGATGCCAAATAAATACCAAAGAAAAGCATGCAGCTCACGAGGGAACTGGAGTGAAGAGTCACTTAAGGCGGCCATGGACGCTGTTAAAAAAGGTAAAATGACTACCGCAGCTTCAATAACCTATCAAGTACCAAGGAAGACCCTCGAAAGGCGATACAAGAAAAATAATGACAAAAAAGGACCAATGGGACCATCCTCTATATTCGGCGAAAAAATGAGAAGAAACTTGCTAACCATATTAAAACTATGCAAAAAAATGATTTCCCATTGACTATTGATGACGTCAAAAAGATTGCGTACCAGTTCGCGGAGCAATTGAATTTGAATCACAGATTTAATAGAGAAACTGAAGAAGCAGGATATGACTGGTTGCAAGGTTTTTTACGAAGAAACCACGATATTACATTAAGAAAGTCAGAAGGAGTATCTTTAGCTAGATCAACTGCTATGAATAAACTGGAGGTTGACGCTTACTTTGAACTTCTTGTAAGCATATTGACAGTAGACGATGGTGTGTTGAATCCGAGTTGTATCTTCAACATGGACGAGACTGGTCTTCAGCTTAATAATCGACCAGGGCATGTTCTAGCTGAAAAGGGTTCTAAGGCTGTATCTACAGTTACTTCTACTGAAAAGGGAGAAACGATTACAGTTATAGCCTGCTGCAATGCTGGAGGTACATTTTTACCACCTGCCTGTATCATAAAAGGCAAAAACAAAAAACCTGAGTTTGAGGATGGGATGCCACCGGCATCGAAACTTTTCATGTCCCTAAAATCAGCGTACATTACCTCAGATTTATTTATTGAATGGTTGATAACACATTTTGTTCCGAGGAAACCAGCTGGAAGAGTACTTCTTTTACTAGATGGTCATTCAACTCACTGTAATTCTGTGGAAATGCTGGAATATGCAAAGGTCAATGACATCACCTTACTTTCAATGCCAAGCCATACGTCTCACTACTTCCAACCACTAGATCGTACAGTGTTTAAATCACTGAAGACTCATTTTTACGAGCAGTGTCGACTTTGGCTAAAACAAAATCCTGGTCGTCGTATAACACGATTATCATTTGGAAGATTGCTTAATAAGACATGGGGAAAGGCAGCTTCTGCAGAGAATGCAATTGCTGGTTTTAAAGCTACAGGTGTCCACCCCTTCAATCCATCTGCAATTCCCGACTACGCGTTTATCCAAAAATTGACAAAGCAAATGTCTAAATCTCAAAATGAGTGTACAGCCACTGTTATGGTTGAGGAGCAAGAAGAAAATCCTAGTAACATAACTTCTGCTAATCTGGAACCAGTTTCAAATACTTTCGAAGTGCGACAAGACATATCACCTGCAATCGCTGAGCCAAATAGCTCTGTTGAGCGAGTAGTTTTAAACGCAAGTCCTGAGATGATTACAAGGAGGCCTAAAAAATTATTTGCTACTGCTTCAGCAGCAGTAATTAAAAAAATATCAGAACAATTCCCTATAAGAAGCGATTTGCCAGATCTGACTCCAAGACGTATTAAAATACGTCTTGGAGTCAGATCTGTGGAACTGGCGTATTTGCTTTAAAAAGCAAATATCGCCAGTTCCACAAAAAATTATTGAAGTACGCAAACGTGCTAAACGTTAGGTAAAAGGTATGCTTTTAACCTCAGAGAATCACTGAAAATTTAAGGAAGCGCTTAAAAAAAATCGGGAACAAAAAAATTCGAAAAAGATGTTAAAAAGGAAAGAAAAATCGAGATCAAACCAATAAAACGAGCACCAAGAAAGAGAAAATCATTAAGAAAGTTATCTGAAAGTAGCGATGAGGATGAAGAACTAATATTATGTAATTCGTCTGATGAAGAAGATGGAAACAGAGAATTGGATAACTGTGTAGGTTGTGGAGAAAATTATTACGAAACGCAACTCATCAAAGATTGCATTCAATGCATTATATGCCAACTGTGGGTACATGAAAATTGCACCGAATTTGATGATAAGTGTTCATCGTGTGGACAGAAAAAGAAGAATGAGCTAAGGCTCAAAAACTTAAAGGGAACAAAAGTGATTAAAATGTAGATTAACAAACTGGCCATCTCTCCCTTGCTTCTATGACCATCTCTACCGGGCACTACGGGAGAGATGGCCAATCTGTACATATCTGGCCAAAGGTTATGTGTGTAATAATCATGTATTTGCAAAAAATAATCACAAAATTTTACATTGTTCTTGTGACGAAGTGTGGGTTTTTTTACAAGTGGTTATTGTTTGAAAATAAAAATTTTAATTAATCATAAATTTTGTTTGATTTCCCAAAAACATAAGTTATAGTACACAATATACATTAGTTGTTTACACCAACACTTTCATTTTTTATTTCACCCCTTAGAACTTTAGACGTGTGTAATGTTTCACTTTATACATCCGTTTACTGCTATTTTGGCAGGACCAAGTGGATGTGGGAAGTCAAATTTTGTAACAAATTTCATAAAATCAGTTACAGAAATTTGTAATTATGATTTTAATCAGATCACGTCGTGCTTTGATGAAATGCAACCTTTATATAAATTACCAAATCTTAACTATCATCAAGACATTCCAATTCTTAATATATTTGATGGTGAAAACCCACATCTCGTTATTATTGATGATCTAATGAGAGAGTCCGATGTAACTTTAAACTCGAACAGTGTTTTATATTGGATTATTAATATAATATAAGATAAATAATAAAATATTAAAATAGAAGATTTATAAAGAAATAAAAAATAATATATTGCATACAATTTGTTTTATTTAATTATATAACGTTTCACATAGTTACATACACACAAAATGCATTACACATAACTCATAAAATCTAACATACAACACATATTATAACCTTAACTACTATAGTCTACAGTAACATTTCTGTTTTTATCTATCTCAATAATATTATCAAACTCAGTATAAACTATACAGTCAATTGTTTGTATTAGTGAGGATTCAAATCCTACTTCTAATCTTACACTACCATGCTTTATGAGATTCCAATGAGCTGATGAGTTGGCTGATAAATCAGGAGTTAAGTCAAATGCTAATAGCCAGTAATCTTTGGCATACTGTTCACAAGAGATTCCATTTCCTTCATTAAGAAAGTGAATACTAGTTCCCGAGAATAGAGTATGATATGCTGATGTAAATACACTATTATTAAAAGATGGTTGCAAAGCTTTTGAAGGTATTTGTTGACCATCTAAGCTGAAAGAATTAATACCATAGTTTTCAAAGTTAAATGGATTTTTAGTAAGGGAACCATTAAATGCAGAATTGTTCACAAATCCAATTTTACATCTTTTGGGTACCTGCCCTAAAAATATATTATCAAGAGTTTTTCCTTAAACACGCGATGGAATTGTTAAAACTTTTACTTCAGCTCGAGTAATTATATTTATAACGATATTTAGCAGTGGTAGAAGCTAAAACTTTTTGATGTGCGAGTAATACACTTGGATTAACTCGTGCTCGTCGAACAATAAGAGTTGCATCCGTAATGCAAACTTTAAACTTTACATCGTTTGACCCAGCAATTAAATTAAAACTCTCTCTTGATCGAACCAATTTAACACTCATTTCAACACCATTAATTAAAAATTTATCTTGGTTGAAAATGTCACCGTGAAGATGACCAATCATTTCTATTTCCTTACTTTCACTAATCATTTCCTGTGTTTTAACAAATCCTATGTTTTTACCATCCGTAGAATCCATTTTTCCTGCTGTATCATCATACCAAAGACTACAAGAAAGATGAGATTGTTTAGCAGCAGGAGCGTAGTTTAAAAGTGTTTCAACGTATGCTCGATATGCATAGGTATTATTAGGTGGTGATACAAGTTTTTGGTTTAAATAAACATCAAGTTGACAAAAAGTGAATGCAACCAATTACTTTTACAGGTGTTACTATTGTAGTTGATATCAAGTTAGTTCAATCTTGATTTAATATTTTTGCCTTTATGTGGAGTAATGTATGAGACAAATCTATGTAGTCATCACCTGTCCCAGGAACTTGAAAATCGATAGTTCCATCATCACCAAGAGATGAAATTGGTTTATAATGTATCCACAATCCATTTTCAATGCTAGTTTGTGTAGGCGGTAGTGCAAACAAATCCAATTCTGACTTAACGCACTCGCAAGAATGATTATGAAGGAAAGACATATTTAATTTGAAAATATATCTTTGATATTTTTTGGTTTGAGACCAAGTTTTTTCGCAGCTTGCACTTTAGCAGTTAATGGTGGAATGAACGAGGTCAATCGTTTTCTTTTAGTTTTATACCCAGATCCTGTCATGTTAAATTGATCAATTTTCTCATCAGCTTTTCGTTTTAAATTCGTACCAACTTGCTTTAGACGATCTTTTATTGAGGCTTCCATAGGACGCACTTGAACCACATCCGATAAAAGTCCTACTCCAGCGCTTAATGCCTCCTTACCAATCACTCGAGCACCACTTGAAAGTAAAGGTAAAACTGATCTAAATAACCCCCCTAAGAAGCTCCCAATACCATGACCGCGTTTGTATGGTGAACCCTTATAAATTACTCCAACTCCTGACCCAGCTTGATGTGTATAATAATTTTCATATGGACGTTTATGATGATCACGAAGAGAATTCATTATTATAATTTTCGGAAATGTAGTACCACGGTTCCAAACTGGAATGATATTTTTTGTCCTGTGTTCGATCTTATAACTATTTCCAGCGTATCGAACTCTCTTCGCATAACAGATAAGTAGTGAGGTTGAGAGAAAACGTGCATTTTATTTGCACCATAAATGTATTTTGTAGTATCTAATGAAATGACTTTTAGTAAAGGAGCCATAACATCACCTACAATCTGAGGATCGATAATGTCGCTATATAGAAATAGTTGAGATGGTAACCCTAAGTGTAAATTAGCAGGACACTTTCCAAAATTTCTCTCTAGGAGATTTTTATTTGGTTCATAAGCTAGTTGTAAACTTAATTTGGGTGATAATGTTACGGATGTTATATTTTTATCCAAAACAGAAATAGACACAAATTTTGTTATTTCATCATAGCGAAATTTCAAGTTCTCTCCGATACTATTTAACACTCTTAAAATATGCTCAACGTTATTATAGTTGGTAGCTGGAATATGTTTTTTGTAGTACACTATGGATGGTTTATCTTCATTAGGCATTAACATAGATTTTGTAATGTATATAACATTTTCATGATCTTGAACAGTAAACATGGTACATGGATATTGAAACTCGACAACTCCAACCAACCATTCACCTGCTAATTTAATAGCTTTTGGTAATTTCGTTGAAAAATTTGTGGTCTTGTTATCAGGAAAGTATTCCATTGAACTATTGCTGAGCAAAGTTAAATAAAAACTTTCTTTATTCATATTTCTTTTAAACTAGAAGCTAAAATCCAACTGTTAAATTTATCTGGATAACCTTTCCACTTCACTAATACTTCTTTTCTGTTACCTGAATAACGAGTGTCAATTATTTTATCTATTTTATATTGTGAGGTGGGGTTGTAAGTGATTTTTTGTAATTCTCTTTCATAAAAAGTACCAACTATTGGTTCATTTTGTAATTCTGTTATTGTATAAACAACCCATGGAGATCTATCAATTATTGAAGATATAATAAATATTTCATCACTCCAATTTGATTCATATCGTTTTTGGAAAACATGTTTATATTTAGTTATTCGAACATAATCACCCACATTGAAATTTGGTTTAGGTATTTCTAAAGAAAGTTTGTTTGACCGTCTATCATAAAGATTAGTCCAAACTGTCATAATATTGTTGGAATTTACATCACATGGGCACATCTTAATAGTAGTAAGCTGTGATTATAAGAGTATATTAAATCTTGTAAAACATCTATATATCTATAAGTATTATTATGAGTGAAATAACGCCATATTTTCATTTTTAGTGTTCTTTGAAATCGTTCAACAATACTGGCCTTAATGTCAGGATTGTTAGTGGTATAGTAATTAATATTTTTGGATTTAAAGTGAATAATTTATTAAATCAACCTACCATGTACCAACCATGTACCTTCATTATCCCAATGTATTTTACTTTTACTTGTTTCAACTAAATTTAATAATAACTGTCCCTTTTTATTACACGTTTTTGGTATTAAACGGAGTATTTAAGTTGATGTGTAAAGTGGATTTTCATCATTTTCTTTACTTTTTGAATTCAGCATCAACTGAAGTTTTTAGATCTCTATCTTTATTTTTAAAACCAATTTTAGACTTATTTGAATCTTCATTAGGTGTATCAGAATAAATTGGTAATCTGAGTGGTTGAAGATCCTCCTCGATAAAATGTACCTTCATTTTATATACATCATCGACATGGTAACATCTATTTCTTTCCGTCTTATTATTCATAATATTTTGCATTTCAATATCTAATCGAGATAAATTACAATTAACCTTATTTTCTTGTTTTAATTTTTCAATCAATCCAGGTTCGATAAGTATCATTTTCTTTGCATTTTCCATGTTAACTTGCTAGTCCACTCACTAATCCACT